CATCATGCCCAGTGTACTCCCTCTGCCTCCTACTTGAGGGATCAGGATGTGAACCCTCAGCCATCATGAGCTCTAACCATCTGAAACTGTAAGCCCAATTAAACACTTTCTCTTGTATGTTGCCTTGGTCATGGTGTTTTGTTCTAATAGGAAACTTAAGTTAAATATTTATGATTTGTTTTATAAAAGGATTTATTTTACCCATTAATTTTGATCCCCACAATATTCCTAATTTTAAAAAAATCAACATAAAAGAATGTGGAATCAGACAAGCATGGAAACTATGAACTCCTGACAGTATTCTTAGAATTCAGCTCGAGTGGGAGTAATGTACCCTATTTACACAATTAGGTATACATTTGAGTTTGAGATCCCTGAATCCCTCATGGATGGATGCATTGTCAGAGATGCTAAGTACCAAAATGAAGACTGTTTTATAACTTGGCAACTACAGTGAAAACCACCCATGGCCCCAACCAAATTTTGTCCAAGAAAGCAGTGTTACTCCTCATTAAATGCTTGAGAAAGATAGTAGGTCTATCTCTCAGACACACACACACACACACACACACACACACACACACACACAGACGACACACATGTACCGAGAAAATGTCAAAGTTTCTTTTATTCTTAGAATTGACTTTCAATTGAGGGCTTCTAGACTATTAGGTGGGCTAGTTTAACTTGAAAAACAATGTACATTCTTTAAAATATATACTAACTTCCCCAAAGAAAAATGGAAAAAGAAATCTTAACAGTCCACATTTTTCATTTATGAAGGAGCCAAGATTTCCTATTTAAAAAAAAAAAAAAAGCCAGGCGGTGGTGGCGCACGCCTTTAATCCCAGCACTTGGGAGGCGGAGGCAGCCGGATCTCTGTGAGTTCGAGGCCTGCCTGGTCTACAAGAGCTAGTTCCAGGACAGGCTCCAAAACCACAGAGAAACCCTGTCTCGAAAAACCAAAAGAAAAAAAAAAAAGAAAAAAAAACACAAACAAACAAACAAACAAAAAACCCAAGGTGTAGTACACACCTGTAATCCCAGCACCCAGGAGGCAGGAGGATAAATTTTAAATTGGAGGTCAGCCTGGGCTATAGTGCTGAGACTCTGAGGTAATACAAAAACAAACAAAAAAACAGGAAAACAAACAACACCCCTGAAAAAGCAAACAAAAAACCCAAAATTCAAAACTACCAGACTCTACAGTTGCAGGGATAAATGCTGAGATCAAATGCTAAACTGGGTTTAGTGGTACCTGCCTGTCACTCTAGCACTTGAGAGACAGAGGCAGGATGATCAGCAGTTCAAGGCCATCCTTGGTTACCTAAGTTCTAGACTCAAGACTCACCTGGGCTACGTAAGGTTTTTAGTTTGTTGGAGACAGGGTTTCCCTAGCTGTCCTGGAACTCACTCTGTAGACCAGGCTGACCGCAAACTCACAGAGATCTGCCTGCCTCTGCCTCCTGAGTGCTGGAATTAAAGGTGTGTGCCACCACTTCTTGGCTAAGCTCTTGTCTTTAAAAGAACCAAAAAGAAAACATTAGCTGCTGCTCTCTGCATTTTCAGTTATCATGTATAAAAGAAACCCTTTAGCAAGTCCCAGAAGGCTATCCATATTCAAGGTCAACCGCAAATATCCTATAAATAGTTACACTATGCTATTCTCAACTGTCATATGTGGTCTGGGTGCCAAATCTGTCGGTGGGGAAGGGCTCTTTTCTAGTCACCACTGGTTTCTAGAGGAAATCAGGACTACAATGGTGTATGAAACAGTAACCCTCTAAAAGGAGCACTGCCATGCATTACTAATGTCAAAGTATGGTTTAGAAGCACAGCATTAAAAGCCATTTCTTGTCCTGGACATTACATCATTCTGAGACCAGAATAAGAAAATGGTACAGACAGAGGTAGTTGAATGCTGCTCGGGTCCTACATAGAATTGTGAAACTTTAGGCAAATTATTTAATCTTATTATTTTCCATTTCTGTGAAAACAGCAATCTTTACTCCACTTGTTTTAGAGTGCTTTGAAGATGAAAGTGACAGACTGTTAGACTATAGATAGGATAAGACTCAACTGTCCTGAAGTCTGGATTTACAGTATCTAACATTAACAATATCCAGAAGCATCTTCAGCTTTGAGTCTGCTTTATAGGGACCATCAGCTTCTATAAGTAAGGTGAAGTACTTTTGAGGCTGAGAATAATGCTTTAAATTTTTTAAATATCATATCTAAATTAAGTGTTTGCAATTAGGAAGCCAGAAAGCTTTCAGAAGTACTTCTGAAAGTTTCATTAGCCAAATTAAGTGTTGGGGATGGTCTCATTCACAGTTCCCTACCTAGGACCTGAACCAATACTTGACAGTTTATATTAAACAGGAACAGTGAATAAGGCACATTATACAGGTGGCTGTTATCCACCTAAGTCATCTGTTTTCAACTATAAAAATAAACATAAGTAACTAATGGAATAACAAAATAAACGTTTATTTTATTAGAATTAGGAATGTTCTTTCCCTCTGGGCAACCTGAACAGTCCAGTTACAATGAAAATCTAAGAACAGTTATTTCCACAGCACAAGGTGCTCTATGCACAAAATTACAGGGTTAGGAGCATTTAATCAATTTATCGATCTGATTGTCTCACCAACCCACCCCATCCCATCCCCCAAGTGCTCTATACTGGGATACGTGGCTAAAAATAATGTTACATTAAATCCTTTAACTCTCTTGTTCTAAGTTTCAACTCCTAATCACAGGTGAACCACACATTACACTGCAGATTCAACCATATCAAATCAAGTCAGTCAGTCTTGGATCTACTGGTATGTATGTATACACGTGTGTCTTTAATATATTTATTTAAACACACATAAAACATATACAATCTGGGTTGCAGCAAATTACAAAGAATTTAGAGTCTGGTGATGTTATATGCTACTCCATTTACCACAATTTTATGTCTCCTGAGCTTTGGATCAAAATTTTATTAGAAATCATTGAAAAGTTCACCTGTTGCTCAATGAATTGTTCAAATGAAGCATGCACCTACAATATAACTGACCTCAAAAACACAAGGAGACCCTGGTGCTTACTGTAAGTAGAGCCCTCTGAGAGACTTAGGTAGGTCAAATAGGAAAGCTGTCTAACAATATGGCTTGCCTATCCCAGCTGGGGGCACTGAAGCTACTAACAAAAGCAGTTAAATTCTGGAAACTCTTAGATATGGAGACGGTTGTTAAAAGCTTGGATGTAGCAGAAAGGCCAATTCACCTCGATCCACACAAATTATGAGTGCAATACCCTCAGGTCCCATGTGAGCACTGGGACTAGAAAGTGTCACCAACTGCACTATCCCTCCATGGGCAGGGACTGAGACTATAAGGTGCACACACTCTTTTGGATACTTGTTTCAAGGGCAGGGTGGAAAGAGGACTTATGACACTCAGACCTAGATACTGCAAAGTTAACTGTTTTAAAACACTACATACACAAAGCAGTTTAAGGGACCACATATATCTATGTGACAATTCTGGTTGCTTTTCAAAGTCACCAGGAAAAGGAACTTACTTTGAGCTTTCTTTGAAATCTCGTTGGTTTTGATAAATGTGTATTTTTTTAAGATTGATGCAATTATTTAAAATAAAGTCAGATGGATAATGGGGAAAAAGAGAGGGCAAAGAGAAAATGGAAAAGCAGACATGAGTTCAGATTTGCACCTGAGGTGACAAGGAAAGGGAAGAAAAAAGATGTAAAGTTGATCCTAAAGCGACAAGTAGTTTAAGAAAGCAGCATAATATACTCAGCAAACATTCACTGATTTTTGATGGGAAAAGAACAGTTGCAAGTACATCTCATGTAACAACCTTTCTAAAAGGAAAAGTAGGGTGATTCAGCAAAGCCTAACTTAGGCAAAAAGCCAGAGGAAAGTGAACCTACTTCCCAATGGAGTAATAAGATGTACAATGCAAGAACAGACACAGCTGCCTCACAAATGGTAAACACTCCCTAGGCACAAGACAGTTAAAGGAAGACAAAGAGGTCCTCAGCCAAAACTGGCATTTAATAGTTATACCTCTTGATCTAGTTGCCTAGTTCACTCTGCACTCAAATATAAAACTGACAGTCTTAGGGATGCTGACCTGTTGAAAAATACCACAGGCAGAATGGCCTAAACAGGTATATAGTTAATAAAACCACCACCATCCTTTACTTTTAACATAGCTTTTAGTAGAAATTTCATAAAAATGGACATCACAGCTAAAATGCATTATTAATTCTCCTATATGCTGACAATAGAAAAGAAGCAAACTCAGTGATTCCCACTCAAATGCACTGGATGGGAGTATCAATGTTCCAGTGGTGTTTGCCTTCAAACTGAACCCACCGTAACACACACAAGCAATTTCAATATCCACCATTTAAAATTCACAATCTCAAACTAAGTGAATGGCTATTTATTTATACTTAAAGTGAAAACATTGTATTCAACACCCTAACATAAAGAAGGGATGAGAAACGAGCCATAACTAAAAATTTAAAAGGCTCAAAGCAGCAATTCAGGAAAAATAAAACAGAAAAAGAAATTTTGAAATGCTTCCTCCAGACGTGATGGGGAGCCTAGGAAGCCCACAGCCCTGTGCATTACATGGGCACATGGGCTAGGATAGAGGCATCAAGGCCACACAGGAAGAGTAAGTTGGGACAGGATAATTCATGAGGTGAAGCAACAAAACCACTTGTAGTCTTTAACAGGCCATGGCATTTGCTCAGGACTTGACTTCCTTGTTCTACATCTAGAAGCTGGGAATTCAAGGCATGAGGCCCATGGCCAGCAAAAGGCAGAACCAAACCAGAAAGGGCAAACTGACCTCAGGAAAGGGAAACTGAAGCACTCTAGTTAGGTCTTGCAGAGGTGCTTAACAAACATACCCTTATCCCAACCCCAACCCTAGAAAGATAAAGCCAACTGAAAGAAAATGCACAGCAAATAGACATAATCTTGAAGCTTTTTAAAGAATAAATATTTTTGTAATTAAACATTATGCAAACACGTGCCACGCTTGCTTTATCCATGCATATGCGCTATATACAATTTTGAAAAATACTGTGTTGTCCTCTTGTTTTAAAAGTCATATACAAAGTTTTTGTGTTTTTTGCTTAATCCTCTTGTTGCCTACCCCGTTCCCCCTCCCAATAATTTCCTTTACAAGTAGCTAATAATCATTATTCACTCATGACCTTAGGGTATGAGAGAAAAGTGAGTCCAACTGTGTATGGTATATGTGCAGGGGAGGAAGGGGAAGAGGTCCTTTACCAAAGTACAACAAAATGGCTGATTTGGACATGAAAAGCAGTGTCAAGGAGCTATCTGAAATTTTAACTGTACTACACTCAGGAAAAAGAAAAAGGAAGTCAGCTTTGAGAATGAAGCTACGTTACAAGTTAAAGTTGGAGGGCTTTTTGTGTGTCTGTCACACTTTGTTGGCGGCCTAGAATACTGTTGTACAATGGTTTATCTACCTTTTTTATTACAATATAATTTACTTAAACTTTCCGTTAACAAAACAGAATTCTGGTACTACAGACCAGCGGTGTCAGAATAGGCTTAGTGCCTCCTTGTTTGTGTTTGTGTTTGTTTTAATTGCATGAGCACTCTAGATGGTAAAGTTTTCAGAGTTCATTTTATGCAGGGCCATTCTCAGTCCTCAATGTACTCCCAAAGATCTTTTTCATAGCCTTCATGCACATGCTGTAACAAAACCCTTCGTCGACTCTCACAGTATCTGTAATCAAAGAGAAAACAAAACAAAACAAAACAACTTGTCATCCAGCCTCTGATAATGGAAAAAGAGGCATTTTACCCACTTTTAAAAAGTACTACTCCTATACTTTGCCCAGACTTTGAAATAAGCACCTGCTATTACTATGATTTATCTGTACAGACACATCAAACTACTTCTAACTGTTCTAAGGACTGTTTTTTTGGTTTCTTTCACTGGTGGAAATCAAACCCAGGACCCTGTACATGCTAAACAAACACTCTACCACTGACCTATTCTTCCAGCCCAAGATTATTTTTTTCAAACTCAGATTTCCGACTCAGGAAATTATTTTAGAGCCCTCATGTTTTAGAAGATGTGACTGAGCCTAGAAACAATGATTAAAACCCATAGTTGCATAAATTATAAAGAATTTCAGCTGGACTGTGGTAGCTACATCTCTACTGAGTTCAAGGCCAGTCTGGTCTACAAAAGAAGTTCCAGGACAGTCAGAGGCTTTATACAGAGAATCCCTTTCTCAAAAACTAACTCCCCCCACTAAAAGCCATCTATAAAGTCCTGATTAACTCTAAAAACACAATGTAATAATTACAGTTATGGAAGTGAAGATATTGAGATTAAATCTCCAAGCCTTCCCTTCCAAATTTCCGGTTCCCTTAGCACTATTAAAAAGATATCAGGGGATGATGAGATGGCTCAGTGGTAAAGAGCACTTCTTTTTTTTTTTTTAAATATTTATTTATTTATTTATTATGTATACAATATTCTGTCTGTATGCCTGAAGGCCAGAAGAGGGCACCAGACCTCTTTACAGATGGTTGTGAGCCACCATGTGGTTGCTGGGAATTGAACTCAGGACGTTTGGAAGAGCAGGCAATGCTCTTTACTGAGCCATCTCTCCAGGCCCCTAAAGAGCACTTCTTGCTTTTCTAGAGGATCTACGTTCAGTTCCCAGAACCCACAATATGGTGGCTCACAACTGCCTGTAACTCTAGCACGAGGTAATATGACACCCTCTTCTGGCCTCTTTGGATATCCAAACACATGCACCCCCCCCCCAATACATATATATAAATTTAAAAAAAAAACCTCATTTTTAAAAAGAAATACAAGCATATGAAAAAAACACACTGAAAGAAAGCTTTATGTTGAGGAATCATCCAATCCTGAACTATTTACCCCTGAGCTAAATTTATCCTAAAGATAAAAGCTAACAAAAACTCTAAAAAGAATTCATAATTCACTTGTAAAGAAGCATGACCCACAAAGAGTTCCTGGATAAAACCAACACCCTATGATCACCCCCTCATTGCTAATGGCTACTTATTCCTTTTAAAGTCTTTCTTCTCTATGGTGTAGGGATTTCAACTGAAAAAGAATCAGCCATTAGAATACATGGCTAGGTTTCTCTTTTATTCTTGATCAGTCTATTCCCTGCAACTTTTTGCCCCATCGACAGAAGGAATCTGGGACACACAGAAGCACAGTCAAACATACAAAATCTCACCACTGGCAAAATATTTTACTCACCAGCTATAAAAATCTCACCTGTACTTATCTTGGACTTTCTGCTTTATATCCTGCAGAGAATCTTGGGAAATATCTCGTTCGAGGTAGCCCGAAAGCACCTCTGTGGCATTTTCTAGATCTGCTTGATTATTCTGAAAGAAAAAGAATAGAAATTCTGGCTTCAAAATCAAGCTAAAATATAACCAAGTTTAGCTAGTTTGAGGACTATAAACTTACTCTCAACACTGATAATCATGGGGGGGGGGTTCAAGATAGAGATTCTTTGTAACAGCCCTAGCTTTCTTTGGAACTAGCTTTGTAGAGAGCAGGCTGGCCTTGAACTCACAGTTCCACCTGCCTCTGTCTCCCCAGTGCTAGGATTAAGGTTGAAGCATCGATGCCCAGCACAGTCAGTCATTTTTTAACTAGTAAAGCTCTTTGTGGCTTTCACCTGTAATAATTTTCTAGCCCAGAACAATTTTTAAAATGTTAGAAAAGAGATTCAACCATTAACCTCTAGAATAACAGTGAGGACAATGTGAGAAAGTCTTTACAATGTTTTATATATGAGAGCTGCTCTTTTTGAAAACTAAAAAATTAAAACTTAAAAAAACCTTGTTGTTGCCCATATTTGGTTGCATTGCAGCCATTTGCATGACTTTAAATATAACAAGTCTTTTGTTATTGTTTTAAAAGACCATGTCTTTACCGTGAATGTAACCCTGGCTGGCACAGAATTCTCTATGTAAATCAAACTGGCCTCCAACAAATAGAGATCTGCCTCCCTCTGCCTCTGGAGTTCCGAGATTAAAAGCATGTGTCATCATATCCAAGTGGATAAATCTATTTTACATCATAAGCAAGATCAGTATTCTATGCATCACTTTTTGCTGTTGCTGCCTTTTATTTTTGAGACAGGGTCTCACTATGTAGTTTTGGGTGGACTAGAACCAGGCTTGCTTTCAACTCACAGAGATGTGCCTCCCTCTGCTTCTTGAATGCTGGGATTACAGGCATGAGCCATCAACCCCTGCTATTCTCTATTTTAGATGAGAGTGGAACCCTTACCATCCTAGGATATTATGAGGCTTAAGTGACACAATTCATATAAATTGCTTATTCGGCACCTGGCACATCTAAAGTTCTTTTGTTGGGTTTCTTGCGTTTTTTTGTTTTTCAAGACAAGGTTTCTCTGGGTAATAGTCCTGGCTATCCTGGAACTCGCTTTGTAGACCAGGCTGGCCTCTAAAATTAATGAGACCCACCTGCCTCTGCCTCCCAAGTGCTGGATTAAAGGTGTGCGCCACCAATGCCTGGCACATCAAAAGTTCTTAATAAGCCTTATTATTAGAAGTTAACATGGTAGTTAGTGTTGATGTGATGGATAAGGGGGGGCTTTTCTAATTTTTCAAATATAGATACTGTAAAATTGATGCACAAGCTGGGTGTGCCTCCCAATGCTCGGGAAGCAGGGATATCTCTTTGAGTTTGAGAGCAGTCTAAACTACAGCGCTAAGCCCTCCTCTCAAAAAATAAGACAAGACAAAACAAAAACTTCAGAAAACAACAAAAAAAAAAAAAAAAAAAAAACCACAGGAAAACCACCAGGGGGAGAAGAATGAGATAAGAGGGGAAATAATCTGTGGCAAGTCTACAGTGCTAATCCATGATAAATTGAGGGCTGACTATAGTGCTAGCACAGTTAACTAGCTGGCTAAACCACTTAAATCTGATACAGTTTAAGATAACAAAAAGGTTTCTCATATTTTTTACCTACATTTTTTTTTTTTAAATAGAAAGGGTTTATGAAAAATTGGCCTTTCCCCCGTCCAGGAACTAATCCTACCTCAAAGATAATGGACTGGTTATTCTTTTTGAGGTAGAAAGCGAAGACATAAGTGTACATAAGTGTGGCACGACACTGGCAGAGGACATCGACTGCTTTCTTCAGGAACTGCACCTCGATCCAGGACATGTTGTGCTGCTGCATCTCCTCCATCTTCTGCTTCACCTGAGCATACAGCTTATGCTCAAAGCGTAGACTCTGCATGTGGTTCATATAGCGATTACAGTAGAACAGGTACCTCTGCAGGGCTGCCCTAGATCGCTGACCCAGTAAGAAAAATAAAGGTCTTGTAATTATGACATATATATATATCATGTATCATGTACAAAAGCTGGTGTACAATTAAGCAACAATGTGATAGCACCTCACACAGTAAAACAGCTTGTCACTCAAAAGGGCAAAGATACCAAGAGTTGGCAAGTATGTGGAGTGAAGGGAATTGTATGAATGTAAGTTAGTAGAATCACTATGGAAAATACACAGAAGTCCCTTACAAAACTGAAGCAGAACCATCATAAAATTCAGTTTTACCACATTTGGGTATATAACAACAGCAGCAACAACAACAAATCCTGAAATCATTATTTTGAGTATGCCTGCATTTCTCCGTTTATTCTTTGTAATAATCAAGCCATGGAATCAGTTCGTTTATTATAAATGAATGGATAAAGAAATGGGGGCATACATAGTAAATGGAATACTGCTCGGGTGGTCATGTGCAACAACATGGCTAGCCACGGAAGACAATGTACTAAACCTATATAGAAATACATATACTACACAATATTGACTTATATGAAGAATCTAAAACCTAAACTCAGAGGAGTAGAGAGTAAAATAATGATACTAGGGGGAACAGGATGGGAGATGGGGGACCAGCCTGTCAAAAATACACCTTGTATTCAAAAATGAGAGTTAATGTCAAATATCTATCCATAAAAAACAATAGGTAACCAAGGTGACAAAATAATTACCTATAAACAGACATCAACCTTATACACATAGTAAACATATCCTTGAGTATTATTATTTTTGACTACAGTTGCTAATTGAAATTTCATGTATTTGCTGATAAAGTAACAGTAATCTAGAACTGTTAATTTAAAATTAAGAATAAAGCTATCTACAGTTACCTTTGATACTACTGCTCTGAATGTCTTACTATAGTTTTTATACAGCAGCCATGAGCCACATATTTGTCTATTTTAACTCAACATTAAAATGTCTGTTCTACAATTAGTGGAAAACAAATTAAACAATGTTGATGAAGAGTATTTTTAGCAATACAAAAAAGTTCTCTTGGATAGCACTCTACAGAGGAAGCAATGAGCTAGAAAACACAAAGCAGCTGTGTGTTGCTGGTGGCTGGTGTGTTGTGTGCAAGCTAAACAAATTTACTGACAACCCAGTCTTTGAAAAACCCTGTCTCAAAACCCCACCCAACAGAAAAAAAAAATACAAAGCTCTTTTTGCTGAGTCTGAATTTGCTTAAATTTATAGACTTACTAAGAAGGCAAAATGGTCTACACAGAGAGTACCGAGCAGAGCTATACAGTGAGACCCTCTGTCTCTCTTTTTTTAATCTATCTTTTCTCATTTTTACGAGACCCTGTCTTTAAAAAAGTAGTAGTAGTAGTAGTAGTAGCAGAGAGACAAAAAAGGTTAATAAATGACGCCAGGGAGCCATTTATTAGCAAGCAGTAAAATCTTTAGGGCTGGAAAAGCAGCAGGAGAAAATGACCTAGTTTATTCAATAAACAAATGGCAATTTTTTTAAAGGAAGCAAGAGAAGAATATTGTAAAGAGGAAATAAAGTTAATCAAATTCAATTTATAAAGTAAATCTGAGCAAGCAAGATGGCTAGTGTACCTATGCACATGTCTGACATCCTGAATTTAATCCTCAGATCTCATGAGGTGGCAGGAAGAAAAGAACATTCTGACAACTGTCCTCTGTGAGCACGCATGTATATATGTACATGTACACACACACACAAAATACATTTAAAATTTTAATAATTTACAATGAGATCCTGCCTAAAAAGATGAAAACGGGAAGAAATTTGGCAGAATTGGAAGCATCTGAACAATAGTTGATTCAAATAAGCTATATTTCTAAAGAGGAGGGTGTGCATGAGGTACACACCTGTAATACCAGCTGCACTCAGCAGACAGAAACATGGAATTGCCAAAATTGAGGAAAGCATGGGTAGCATAAATTAAGACCAGCCATGGGCTACAGAGCAAATCTCTCTGTCTGTGCCTCCACTACCCCATCCCTCAAAACCAACCAAATATATACAAACTTACAGTAACAATCTAACAGTGAGGGCTAGAGCACTACAGATATAGTCTGGGGTAAAGCTTAAAGCCCATGCTTGTTTGACATCAGTTACTGGGTTTAATTTCAAACACACTCCCAATACACCTACATACAATAATGGCATTCAGTAAAGTCTATTATTTGATAATATACAAAGTAGTATTAATGACATAATTTTGTACTTCAAATATGTTTTGCATTATTATTGTCTTACAAAAATAACTGATGTAAAGTCTCATTATTCTGAAAGTCTCTAGATGTGTTGGATGATTTTAAATCATATACTTAGTATTATCACTAGTGCCTGATATATAGAAAATGATTAGTTAAATAAATTTAAGTGTGATTTTACCACACATATACATATATTTTTCTCTCCATGCTTTAAAGTCTAGAAATAACAGACACTCGGGTACCTTCTATGATACGCCAAGTGAAGATCTTCACCCAATACTCTTTTGAGATTTATTTGGGAAGGAGGAGTCCAGGAGAGTGGATACCTCTGCCAGAGTAGTAAATAACAGCCAACAGCTGAACAGGCAGAGGGGGCTTATACAGGGCTTCTTAGGGGCGGAGTTTTCCCAGGAAGAAGTTATGCTCAGAGATTGACTAATTTAGTTGGTCAGGGGCAGAGATGGCTCTGATTTCAGAGCCAAACTGTTTCTTTCCCTGGTCCTTTTTGAGTCTTTGGTTAATTTTAGGGCCAGGGCATTTTTTTTTCTACTGGCTCTGTTTTTAAGGACAAAGTGTGTTTCTTCGGCACTGGTTTCAGAGTCAGGGTATGCTTCTTTGGTTCTGGGATAAAGTGTTTCTTTTACTAGCTCAGGTTTCAGATCCTGGGTCTGTTTCCTTCACTAGCTCTGGGTTCAGAGTCAGAGTGCTCAGGGATTGGTTGGTTTTCCTTGGCTGGGGTTCTTACCCTATACCAAGTATACAGAAATATAAATATTGCGCAGCACTCGGTAGGCAAAGGCAGGCAGATTTCTTTGAGTTTGAGGCCAGCCTGGTCTACAGATCAAGTTCCAGGACAGGCTCCAAAGCTCCAACCATGTCTCGAGAGGAAAAAATATGTATTTGGAGAAGAATCTACAGTTGATCTTCTTCTTAAATATATAAACTCTGAACCTCAGGAATACTCAATCACATGCTCCAATATCATACACAACACTGAAGCATCAAGAAAAAAGTCAAACAAAAGTTTGTCGTCACCCCCCACCCCCACCAGAGGGTCAGGAAACAGGTTAGGCTGGCCTTGAAATCAAGATGTTTCTCTTTCTACTTCCTACCTCATGAGAGCTATATTTGCATCATGTATCAACCATGCCTGGCAAAGCCATATTATTTCAAGAGACAGGTAGGTGCTGAACCAACACTTATGAAATAAAAATTAAGCCTATGTGCAAATAACCTATGTAGGAACTAACCTGTCTGTCATGTTTACTTTCCAGTAAGTATTACTATTTGCAAATTTCACAAAATCTAACAGAAAACTCAATTTATCACATTACCACATACGATGCGAGAGGACTTGATTTCATATACTTTATGATTCTGAAAACTATTCCTCATTAAAACTCATGAAGCTGGGTGTAGTAGTACATGCCTTTAATCCCAGCACTCAGGAAGAGGAACCAAGTGGATCTCTGAGCTCCAGGCCAGCTCAGGTGGTAGAATGTTTGTTCTTCAATATATGAATCCCTGGATTCTATCCCTCGCACCACATAAACAAGACACAGTGGTATATTATTTCTGTTATATAAAAATGAATGAACGCAGACAAATTTCATTGACTTGTGATTTGATCTGGTTATACAACCATATAGAAATAAGATATTTGCAAGTGGTTTTACATTCACATATCTAAATACTGTAGTGAATATACTTAAGTCAGCCCTATTAATTTATGAGAATTTTTCTGTTCTTTGAAAGGACTAAATAATATGCATGTAATTCCAGTACTTTGAACCCAGAATGAGCTAAAAGGTTAAAACAAAAATGTCTTGCTGTACAGTGCTGGCACATGCTTTAATCTCAGCACTCAGGAGGCAGAGAAACCATGTCTTGAAAAATCAAAATACCCAGAACACAAACCATCTAAACTACAACCTCCTAAAGGACCTTTTGGGAGACCTTTTTTTAATATATAATACATATGAAACATTCACTTTTTTTATTTTTATTTTTTTTAATATTTTGGTTTTTCGAGACAGGGTTTCTCTGTGGCTTTGGAGCCTGTCCTGGAACTAGCTCTGTAGACCAGGCTGGTCTCAAACTCACAGAGATCCGCCTGCCTCTGCCTCCCGAGTGCTGGGATTAAAGGCGTGCGCCACCACCGCCCAGCTTATTATTTTAATTATAGCAAAAGACAGTATCTTTACTTCTGCCAATATAGAAGTATATAGTAATATGTATTGGGGGGAGGGCATTTATTTCTTTAATTAGAAATGATTGAGGTCTGTGTGTGTATTGACTGAACAGAGTCTTGCTGGTTTCAAATTTGCTGTGCAGTCAAAGGCTTATCTCAAAATTGTGATCCTCTAAGCCTCCAGAGTGTTGGGATTACAAGCAAAAAACTGCCTTTAAAAACTAACAATAACAAACACATGGAATCCATGTTTTGGATTGTATCCAGCTTGAAATACCATTTAAAAAGCATTTTTTTGTTTGTAGACAGGGTTTCTTTGGCTGTCCTGGAACTTGCTCTGTAGATGAGGATGGCCTCAAACTCAGAAGCTGGAATTAAAGCCATGTGGCACCACCATCCAGCTAAAAAGCATTTTTGTCTTTAGGAATTTCAAAAAAAGAATGATTGAATAAATAAAGGATTGGAGAGATGACTCAGACATTAAGAATAATGACTGCTCTTCCCGAGAACCTGGGTTTAATTCCCAGCAACCACATGGTAGCTTACAACTGTCTGTAACTCTAGTTTCAGGAGATCTGAAACCCTCACACAGACCCCATGCTGGCCAAACACCAATGCACATAAAAATAAATAAATCTATTTTAAAAAAGGACAAAAGAACAAAAGATTTAGCCAGGTGGTGGTGGTATATGCCTTTAATCCAGCACTTGGGAGGCATAGACAGACAGAAAGATCTCAGTGAGCTTGAGGCCAGCTTGGTCTACAAAGTGAACTCCAGGACTATCAGAACTCTAACACAGAGGAACCCTGTCTAGAAAAACCAAAACAACCAATAACAACAAAAATGAGTAAAGAAAAATTCAATGGTTCTTCAACTACTATAAAATTATGAGAATAAAAGAAATAGAAATACAAACCTATTGTCTGAATCCTTTCCTAATAGCATAGAGACTCCGGAGGGAGTCTGTTTCAAAATCACCTGACCTATCAGAATTGCACGAACAATGAGGCAAAAAGTAAAAATAAGTGACACACTGTGTGCTCTATACAGAATAGCAGCAGTTCACTCAACAACTGCTGGTCTCTTATTCTTTGTGCTGAATGAGCAGAATGCAGAGGTGAAAAGAAAGGAAACAGACAAGACTGTCCTTATAGAGGAGGAGGAGGAGGATTGGCATACCCCTGTAATTTCAGACAAGGGACAAAGCAAGAGCTTGTCTCAAAATTCAAAAACCAATTACAAAACAAGAAAGACTGAGTGAGCACAATGCACATGCCTATAATCAGCTGTCAGGAAGAAGCAGAAGCAGAAGGATCATATATTTGATGCCAATCTGGGCTACAGAGCCTGTCTCAGAAAACAAAAATAAATGTTCCTAATTAAGTACCGTAAAAGAGTCCCTTTCTGAATGCTTCTATAAAGTTAACCGAGAAATATGTGAATCAGGCATTCTTAGCCAGTGCTGACCTGCCACGGCTGCAACTCACCTCTTGGGCATCTCTTGCTGCCTTTGCATCATCCTCATTGTAGCGATTACAATTGTACCTTAAAAAAAATTAAGAGACTTTCAGAAAGCCATAAATCAATTATAAAAGGAACAGGATGTAGCACTTTAACTTGTACTAAGTGATTATCTAGAACTAGCATTCTGTTTGACAACAGATAAACTGAGATGTCAACACACACAAGGTCCTATTGATATAGTGGAAAAAAATCACAAGACTAAATAAAGCAACACTGGGAGGGTTGTATATAATCCAACACCTAATATTCTGGGCGTCTAAAGTACTAGATCAATTCTCCACTAAGTAATAGGAAATTCCACATCTTTTGGATAACCCATCCCAAACCAGCTAAGCTACAACCACCAGAAAACACTGCAGTATAGTACTTAAAATTACTACTTATAGTCTGATCTTTAAACTGTTTCTGAAGAGATCATGTTATCTCCTAAGCCATCTGTTACTCACTGTATCTTTCCTTTTATAAGCCAGAGAATCAACAATTACAAGTTACTCTTTAAGAGATGCTGTGCAGCCGGGCGGTGGTGGCGCACGCCTTTAATCCCAGCACTCGGGAGGCAGAGGCAGGCGGATCTCTGTGAGTTCGAGGCCAGCCTGGTCTACAAGAGCTAGTTCCAGGACAGGAACCAAAAGCTACGGAGAAACCCTGTCTCGAAAAATCAAAAAAAAAAAAAAAAAAAGAGATGCTGTGCGATGTACTTATATACCTCTATGATTTATTAACTGTCACTGAAAACTGAATGATACATAAAAAAGAAGGGAAGGAGAAAACATATCCAGAGAAATTAGCTCAGAGCCAAAATGATGGGCACTTCCTTTGTCCTTGTTACTATGTATCCGGTTTTTTGTTCTCACTAGTCCTGGTTAGCTTGAGACCAAACTAACCTAAAACTCAGAGATTTGTCTGGCACTGGTTATGCTACCACACTTGGCTACTACGTATCTTTTATGAGAGACTACATTCTGATTGTGGTTATTTATTTACTGTAAAGTCCACTTGCAATAGACTTTCAAAGAGAGATTCAGAATAAATACATAAAAGTAGTTCAGTTAGCAGGAAGTCAAAAACTAACATGCTGCTGCAGCATCTGTTAACAGTGAACTTTTTATTTTAGAGCTAAATGAAGAGATTTTCAAAACCCCATCCCTCCCTTCATCCCGAAGAAAAACTTGAATTTAAATGTTAAAAGTGAAATGCATGGGGCTCAAGAGATGACTCAATGGCTAAGAATACTTGCTACTCAGAAGGACCAGAGTTTGATTCCCAGCATACACAGTGGGCAGCTCAAAACCTTCTGGAACTCCAATTCCAAGTAATTTAATGCCCTCTTCAGGTCTTTTGTGGGCAGCTGTTGAAAGATGAGTGACCATTTGTGTAACAGAAGCAGATTCACACACACTCATACACGTTTTTTTTTTTAATTTAAAATTGAGTGGTACAGACTTACCAACCTTTTCAGAATTGTTTTTTGAATATGTGTGAGAGCAAGTGGTGTTAAGAATTCAATCTAAAGCCTCTCGCACGCTAAGCCAATGCTCTGCCACTGAGCTTTATTTTCATCCCTTCAGAACTGTAATGGTGTCTATGTATTTGTATGCACACATAACATACGAATACATGTTATCTTTGATTTCACCAAATTTTGTATCAGAAAGCAGTTTTAAGAGACGTGCTTGTCTATGTATACATTTATGTGGTGGTATATGTGTGTTCAATACCTTGCTTTGACTTATGTTTGAGTAACAGATGGTTTTGGCGATAAGATGATCTCTTACAAAAATGTACCAGAAAACAGAAGGAAGTAGGGGAATATTTCATAAAGTTTTTAAAGACATTACCTTAAGGAAAATGTGAATTTATTATGTTTACTCCAAGAAATGTCCAATCACTCCCAAATACCCTGGCCTATTTTTACTCAATAGGCTATAAATTTCTGTTCCAAATGAAATATTTGGTGGAAATATGGTTTAAATATAGTTTTAGGTATAGGATTAAATCACAAATCTCAGAAATTTTAAGTTATACTTTTAATTATTTAATCTTTGATACTAGCCTATTGCCTATTTTCCACTACTGAGATGTAACCACAAATTGGTCTTAAAGTAACACAGATAATTTATCTGGATTAGAAAGACTTAATGTTAATTTTCACCTGATCATTCAATGTTTTTACTTGATGTACTAGTTTACTTAATTTAATTGAAGGATCACCACCTTTGATTTCTCTTCATAAACTATTAACATTGGCTTTTTTCTTATCTCTTAAACATCACCAATTTCGCTTGTGGTTAGTATTTGAGACATGGTCTTTCTATGTAACTCAGACTTGCCATCATTTAGAGATCCATCTGCCTAGTGACTGCTGTAATTAAAGGTGTGTGCCACCATATTCACTCCTTGAAATGATTTTTAAAAAGGAATTTAAAGCACTAGCTTAATACAGGCTTTTCCTTTCCAAAACTATTGAAGATTTTAAGGCTAGCAAAGCAAATATTTAGGGTCTACCTATATTTATAACTCAAATAACTGATTGTGCTACTTGGAATATTGTTTTTACAAATCAAAGGCATTTTAAGAATACACAGAAAACAAAGGAGGATACAATTGCAAGGTCAACAAGCATATAGGCATGACCCTTTCGACCAAGTCATCACTCAGTCTATGGTAGTTCTCATGTTTTAATTAAAATCTGAGTCATGATCAGTGATGTCATCAAACTCAGAGTCTTGAAAATAATCTTTTTTGTCCTCCCCTCCCCCAAACACTAGGCTGGCATAAAAAAAGCATACAGTGACCTTATTTTAGTTTCTGGGAACCCTATAGTTTGCTCTCCTAAAATACATGCGTGTGCATGTGTATGTGTGTATACATGCATGCAACAGCAGCAACACACACCTTTAATCCCAGCACTGGGAAGACAGAGGCAGGTAGATCTCTGAGAATTCCAGGCCAGCCTAGGCTACACAGAAAAACCCTGTCTGAGAAAGAAGATGAAGAGGGAGAGGGAGAGAGAGAGAGAGAGAATCTGTCTTCAGCTCTGACAATGGCATATTTTCTTTATTCCCCATTAACAAATCAGTTACTACCTTGGAATTAGCTCCAGAAATAATCCCTATCACCAATCCTCCAATCACGGTAACTACAAGTCCCAATTAAACGAAAAGCAAATGCCTAATTTTTGTCTTAAGTTCCTATCGCTTCATCTTATTTTGAAGCTGCACCCTTCCCCTTGCATTCAGTCATCAACAGTGCTGGAATTATTTGACAATGTGTAAACCGCACAATACAAGCCCCTTTCATCTAACCATGCCACTTCTACCCTCACAGCATCCAAACAATTTTATACTGAAGTTCTATTTCCTAACTTCTCCTATCCCCCACAACTTACCAGGTTAACCAACAGAAAGCAGGAAGGTGACACAAATTATTAAAAGCAGGTTATCTGCACATTATAACACCCAGAAACACTTTCATTTCTCATCAGCATATGTGCTTAGCTCCTATGTTTCTCAAAACTCATCTAAAGTTTAACTTGTATTTTCCAAAATAAATATGCATATATAAGAAAATTATCTATTAGTACAGAAGGAAATGAAGGGTGCCTTTTAAAACAGGAAGCCTTTGAATTTAAGGATTATGCACCATGAAAACAATCTTTCCTGGAGCAAAAAATAACTGACGATAACTCCCAACTGTACTGAACACAAACAGATTTCTTTATCCTTGTCATTATACCCTAAACAATATTGTTCACAAAACATTTACTATGTGCAAGGTATTATAAATAATCTACATACATGCAAGTACTATACTATTGTATATAATGCTCAGATTTTGGTATCCACAGGGCATCCTGGACTCCATCTTCAATGGATGCTAAGAGACAACTGCACATGGATCTAACATTAACTCTCAGTCTTGAAGAACTTATAAAATTGCACAATAAAGGCCCATTCAAAGAACTATTTACAAGTTATAGGTAGTTCTTCCAAATAGGAATGTAAGCCTATTTCAAAGAGAAGTTAGGCTGGGTGGTGGTGGTACATGCCTCTAATCCTGTTTGCTCTACAAAGCGAGTTCTAGGACAGCCAGGAGTGTTACACAGAGAAACCCTGTCTCAAAGAACCAAACCAAAAAAGGGTCAAAGAGAAGCAAAAAATACAGTTTTTTGTTCAGTAGCTTTCCAATTTTTTTTAATTATTGTTTTGTTTTGTTTTTTAAAGACAGGGTTTCTCTGTAGATCTGGAGCCTGTCCTAGCACTTGCATTGTAGACCAGGCTGGCCTTTTAATTCACAGTGATCCGACTGCCTCTGCCTCCCAAATGCTGGGATTAATTAAAGGTGTGCGCCACCGCCACTCAGCACTTTCCAATTATTAAAGACAACAACTGTTGTTTAATGATGTGTAGGGTAAGAAAAACACACAGGTTAAATTTCTGTAGATAAATTCTAGTTTACAATGTCTACCTAGAGTCATCAGACAATGTAACTAAAAAATTAAAATCATGAACTTAAAATATACTCCATCTCTGTTCAGTATTCCTTTTATTTTGTTTCCAACTACAATTAATGAAAATCTCAACCTAAAGGTTAATCTCAATTATTAATTCCTGTGAGAAATGACAACTTAATCCCTCTCTGTGTCTCTACTTAGCATATTCCTCTGTTGAAATACATATTGTTCATTTAGCTCAAGTCAGGTGATAATCAAAGGCAGAAATATCATTTATATGTGATATATATGTCATAATTATGTTAACATACTCTACCATTTGTCCAACCTACCAGGCAGATCCATGTGGTTCCCAAGGGCCAAGACACACCCAGCAAAACTCTGCTTTACAGTTCTGGTTACGACAAACCATGTGATTACAACCGCCATCCTTCTCAATTGTGACATGGCATTTGGGACATTCCTATGAAAAAAAACTATAAAGTTGGTGTCAATGCTACACTAAGCTGTATTGCTACCATTGAGAGAAGCCAGTTCTAGATTTCATTTATCTATTAGTTATTACACTTAAGTCACTTACAAAAGTAGTAAGCATGTAATAAATACCATTAAAAAAAATAACCTGTATCATTATTACTGGGGTTTTTTTCTTTGTTTTGTTTTTGTTTTTCGAGACAGGGTTTCTCTGTGTTACAGTCCTAGCTGTCCTGGAACTCACTTTGTAGACCAGGTTGGCCTTGAACTCAGAGATTCACCTGCCTCAAAAACATGTGCCACCACTGCCCTGCTTATTATTGGGTTTTAAAAGACAAAAACAGTGTAATCCCTTTTATAAAATATTTATTTTTCTTTATATGTCTGTGTGCAGATGCCTGTGGAGACCAGAAGAGGACATCAGATCTCCTAGAGATCGAATTATAGAAAGTGGCGAGCCACCATGCACGTGAGAATTGAACCCAGGTCCTATGGAAGAGCAGCCAGTGCTCTCAGCTGCTGAACCATCTCCACCCCAGTGAAAACAATCAAAATATTTTTAATCAGAGATAGTAAGCTTGATAAAACCTTGAAGTATTTTACTCATCGTGACACACTATTGAGTGCCACCTAGCTGTAGAGTACTTTCTATCCTGAGCACTACTCAAGAGCATTATATGCAGCATAGCACAAACCCATAAGCCTTGTAACAGTGCTATTTATTCCTGTTGATCACAAGAATAAAAGACAAAAAGAAATAACAAGGAAACTAATTCTAGGTCACAAAGATCCATATACAAGCAGTCTGGCCTTCAGGGTCAGGCAAGCAGGTAATCAGGCCCCAACTTTCAAACTTCATAATGAAGTTCACAATTTCCATTTTTGTTCTTATTTACTTTTTAAGCATTTGTTTTTGTTGTTGTTGAGACAGGATCTCTTTGCAAAGCCCTGCTGTCCTAGAACTCACTATATAGACTAGGCTGGCTTCAAAGTCAGGGATCCAGATGTCTCTGCCTCCCAAATCCTGGGATTAACTATGTGTGCCACAATATCTAGCTTTTCAAAAACTTAAAAATTTGAGTGGTGTAGAGATTGTGTACACAAGTATGCAAGAGATGACACTAGATGTCCTGCATTATAGCTCTCAGCCTTACAACTCTCAGACACTTTCAGTGAACCTGGAGTTCTTTATATTCAGCTACAGGGGTTGACCATTAAGTTCCAGAAAGTCTGTCTCTGAAACTCAGCACCGGGGTTACATGGCCACACCTGCCATTTTTATGAGTGTCAGGGATCTGAACTCAGTTCTTCATACTTGAACAGCACTTATCCACCAAGGCATCTTCTCAGCCCTTGTTTTTATGGCTTGATACAAGGTCTTGTGTAGCTTGGGCTGATGTTGAGCTTCTGATCCCCACCTTCATTTCTCCAGTGCTGAGATTACAAGATGTGTCAGCACATCCAGTTCATATGGTGTTTGGGATCAAGATTAATGAGGGCTTTGTGCCTTTTAGGCAAGTTCTCTATCAACTGAGCTACAATCAAAGCCCCAAAGAGACAGAATTCACAACTAGCTTCATTAATAACATATTCAAAATAAAAATAAGGAGTACTACATTGTTGATTGCCTTGGCGGGTTACTTAGTCTAGGGGTTTGTAACCCGCCTGGCAGTTCAGTTATTCCAGGGTCCCGGAGAGGCACTATCTGGAAGATAATGGGCTAAGAGAGAGGAATGAGGCTAAGCGAGGGTTCCTGTCAAAGCCTCCATTTATTAGAGATGGGGTACAGCTTATATAGGGTAAGGAGTTTGGCTTGGGATGGGGGCGGGGGAATGGAATCTTGTCGCGTGGTTCACGTTGGTCACATGGTCCAGGAGGTTACCTTCGAACAGATCACGTAGGCCAGGAAGTCACGAGTTGACACACCTAGTTCTCTAGATAGTTTGGAATGTGGGGTGGGTTCCGCTAACAGATAGCTCTCCATTGACAGCCAATTTGGGTGTGGGGTAGGCTCTGTCAATAGAACGATTCTTAACACAATTATGGGTGTGGAGTTCTCTGCAGACTCCCCAGGGTGATGGTTCCTGCAATAATCCTAGGAGGAAATGGCTCCTGACACTACATGGGTCCACTTTCAATGTTTTCACTTATGTCATAGTTTAGATGTATAGCATAAAGTAGATTCAGAGAAACAGTTCTGCGATGTCTACTTTATATAATCAAAACTTAAAATTAGTTACTCCGCTTAAATCCTGGCCTCTGAAGACTAACTTCTAAAAAGTAAAACTGAGAAACTTAAGGTAGAAAATTACATTAGCTGGCAACATAGCTCAGGGTTGTAAGGGTACTTACCACCAAGTCTAACAATTCAATACACTGTACCTATATAGTGGAAGGCAAAATCTGATTCCTGAGTGTGGTTCTCCCCTACCTAGACATGAGCACATATATGTACATGCACACAATACAAAAAATTATTTTAAAAGAAAAAAATTGACATTAGGCCAATATAAGTGAAGTGAATGAAGTATAGTCACATTTAGTTTAACAAAATAAGATTTATCTACAGGAAATCCACGTTTTTAGAATAAAAGTAAAGCACTACGCATAATGCATTACAGCCACTCAATAAAATAAACACCTGAAGGTAATAATCCATACGTAGCCATTGGAGATGGGGTGGGGTAGACAAAAGCTATCATAAGGCTCAAACCAACATAAACTCACACTGCTTTTGCTAATGCTTATACACCTACCCTTCAATATGCAGGGGAGGGGTAGTGGTGGGAGGATACACACAGATGGACCAACCTTTGTGTTAGCTGCAATCCAATTAGAAGTTTCACTGTCATCATCACACTTTTTAATCCACTTCTTCAACCACTATTTGAAAATAACAATCATTAGAATATAACTAAAACCTTAAGGATAGCAAATTATTTCAGCACTTAAACAAAGGAAATTTTTAAATGTAAGACTCAAAAAGAAATAGATTATCACTAGGCATATTCTCAAAGTAGGAAAATTTGTGGGTGTAAAATCTCATTTATTGCTGGGTGGTGGTGGTGCATGCCTTTAATCCCAGCACTCAGGAGGGAGAGGCAGGTAGATCTCTGTGAGTCTGAGGCCAGCCTGGTCTACAAGAGCTAGTTGCAGGACAGGTTCCAAAAACTACAGAGAAACCCTGTCTTAAGAAACACAAAACAAAACAAAAAACCCAACTCATTTATATAGGATCAACCGAAGAACTGAAGAATTTTGACTTGTTAAAGTTGAATGGGAAGCCTGGAACCTGGATGAAAAATCAAATTATGTTATTTCCTCAAAACAAAGCCTAACTACTCATGGATATTCTAAGATAAGCAGAAACTTAACACTCAAACGAATGCACACAGAATACTTGCAAATGATCACCTGAAACAAAAAAGCATAGAATAAAATCTTCCATTTGCTAGTACAAAGTCATCAGCTGTTATCTTTAATCAAATCATCAAATCTTAGGAATGTACTGACTTGTTTTTTAAAAAAAGGAAAAAAAAAACAAATCTCACCTTACATTTAACAGGATCATGCCAATTTTCGCCACAGTTAAAGCTGTTAAAGGACACAGGAGTTTACATAATTAATACTACTCACTGTAAGTAAGCAACTCAACCATTTCACCTCTACAGTTCCCCAGTATTGCCAGGAAATTCTAAACGATTGGCAAATACCAAGGCAGGGAATGTGTTTATTTATTTTACAGTGAATTTTTTTTTTCAGAATTAGTGTGTTCTAGGACCAGCAAATAAAGAATCAATATGTATGATATGGGAATGATTAAAAGCATAAAGACATGCCCTGATAACTACACAGTAACTGTTAGCAAGACTGGCTCACTCAGATTGTACCGAGAAACTTTTAGTAGTGTTTCACCAGTGTATACTCTATCTTCACACGCTAAAGAACAAAAGCCTGCATTTGAAGATTAATTTGCAAATTCATATTAATATACAACAAATAATACATTAGATACAAAAGGGGACATCTTTGCATAATGTAACAAGACTATACTCAGCCCCGTAGAGAAAAATGGTGTTGGTCAATCTATTCAAAACAAACCAAAAAAATCATGGTGGCTTACATCTGTAATCCTAGTACTAAGTACATGTATGTTTACATGTTAGGAGTTTAAATGAAGAAAACACAAATGCTTATGGAAAAACATCGAATTGGGCATGGTAACCTGTAAAATCCTAGGCCTCAAGGAGAATACAGAATTCAAGGCTAGCTTCATAACACCCTTCCTCAAAATGGGGGCGGGAAAGGGCAGGGATGACACAGAACACAACAGTGTACCCACTGGTGTGGAGCCCACCAGGCTGCAACGAGTATCTCCAAACCAATGGCTACACAGAAGGAGCCTGGTGAGCCACAAGGTAAGATACAAATGCGGGAAAGGAATTCCAGGGATGCAGCAGTAAAGTTGATAGGGACAGGAGAGATTGGGGGGGTGGAGGGGGGGGGAATAGAATAATCAAAATGTACTGGTTATGTGTAAAATTATCAAAGAAATTTAGTGAAACCTATACAAAATGAAACCGGTTATTAATGTGATTATCACATAATTTATAAAAATGTTTGTCAAAGAGAGAAGTAATGAGGTTAAGGGTATGATTATTTCTCTGACAAGGTAGACAGGAAATCCGATAAAACAGGCGACCAAGGAGCTTCAAATGTATACTGCACTTCATTCCCTGACAAAAAGAGACAAGGAGATGGAGAGATTGCTGAATAAGTAAGAGCATTTGTTGCTCTTGCAGTGGACTCAGATTTGACCAGAGCACTCACATGAGAATTGACAACCAACTCCGGTTAAAGGGATCTGATGCCCTCCCTCTTGTGGCCTCTATGGATACTAAATGCACGTGATATACATATAGGTAAAACACTTATACACATAAATAAATCTAATTACCTTAAACAAATCTTTACAAAAAAGAGAAATGTTTCTTATTAAAACAAAAAATTTAGAGTATGCAAGGAATCAGATTTCATCTTCTCGTCTGTAACAAAGGTAAATTTGAGGTGTGGTAGCAGGCACGTGTGTGCTATAGTAAACATCTGAAAGTTGGAGGAAGGACAACATCTGTCTTCATTTTTGATCTTCTTTAAAGCAGGGTCTCTCTTCCCTTTTTAGTATTCACTGCTGTGCACACTAGCCTACCTGGCTCACAAATTCCTAGTAAATCTCTTGTTTTTGCCTCGTATCACTATAGGAGCACTGGGAGTACAGGTGCAAGCTGGGGTGCCCAGCTTTATGTGGTTTGGGGCCTCAAGTCCCTAACTCTTGCAGAGTAAGCACTTTACACACTAAATCATCACCCCAGGTCACAGGACTAAACTCTAAAACTATAAGGGCACTGTTGATCTTTAATCAACACAATTTGCACTGTATACATGCTTGCATGTTTGTGAATTTATTTGCTCTTTGGGGATACTTATTAATTCGACGGCGATTTTTAAAGAATCAAAGCATACTGAAATATCTACCAAGGAAACACCTATTTGTTAGCACTAGTTCCTTCATTTTCTTTAAAAAGATAGTAAAATCTTTTTACCTTTCTGCTATATTCTTCAAGTGCCCCACCCTAATAACAATGTTGAAACCTAATCATCAGAGTGACAGCATTAAAAGGTAGGGGTTGTTGGGTATGATCGTGTATGGCTTTAACCTAGCACCCAGAAGGCAGTAGCAGGCAGATCCCTGTGGGTTTGAAGATACCAGTCTAATCTACTAATCTAATCTACTAGTGAGTTTTAGAACAGCCAGCACTATGTAGAGACTGTCGCAACACCACCATGCCCCCACTCCCTGCAAGAATACGCAGACCCACACACGCACACTTAGGAATGGTTTATAAGGTGATTGTCATGAGGGTTGTATTCAGGAGCAATACAATAAAGAGATGCACACAGCTCTATTGTTCCATCCACCACGTGAGATTATTCACAAAGATATTCTGTATAGTAAAAAGCAGACCCACAACTGCTGTGCAACAATCCGCTTGTCCATTGTAAAGATCTGTCAGTTGAATTGCTTTAACAAAATCCAGATTGGGCCTGGCAGTGGTTGCTTACACTTTTAATCCTAGCACTCGGAAGACAGAGGCAGGTGGATCTCTGTGAGCTTAAGGCCAGACTGGCATACAGAGCAAGTTCCAGGACAGGCTCCAAAAGCTACAGAAAAACCCTGTCTCGAGGGGAAAGGAGGACACCAACAACAATAATAAAAAAGCTGATTGCTGAATATAGTCAGTATAGGAAGTATAGTCAGGCTGACCAAACTAAAGATGATGAGAAGGAGAAGGGCTGAGTCAGAAGACACCAGCCAGATTGATTTGGGTATGCCAAACTGACAACATGGCAGAGCATGAATAAGGAATATGGGTTAATTTAAAATCTAAGAGCTAATTAGTAAGTTAATAATGAGACTGACTATATTGGTCAAGCATACTAAGCCTCTGTGTGGTCATTTATGAAGTGGGCACTGGGTATTTGGCACCCAGCAGCTGCAAGACAGGAAACTTCCACCTACACATAACAACAACAACAACACAAATAATTCACTAGCACACTGACCCATGATTTCCCAGTTTGAAAAAGAAATTACTGCTGTGTAAATACTAGATAATATTGGTATTTTGTTATAAGAAATTGGTAGTGAGAAATAAGGAAAGCATTTTTAACAAAGCTTAAAATGAGAAAGCAGATTTGTAAATCAATAATAGACAGGGTTTGATGTGTGTTAGAAAAAGAATATATTATCATGAATAGAGACTATTCCAGGGTGATTGTGTAAGACTTGATAATGAAGGAAGAGGTATAGAGAAAGTCTCCGTCATCTTAAAAGAATATCTACCAATTCTAAATAGAATGCATGTGGAGCTAAAAGCAATAAAGGTCATTCTGATGATGCTACTGATGAAAATAAAAAACATGCTATTGCAAACTAGCACACAACCATTCATTGTAAAAAATAGAACATGACTTAACTGTGTGTGTACCAGACTGCTTTTATGCAACGTAGAATGTATAAATAACGAAACTCAATTTTTGATTGAATAAACGTCAGTAAAGATGCAGGTTGGCCCCTGAATGCAAAGATGGACTTAAAGATGAATTACTAATGAAAAAGGAGCAAGATCTTTCAAATTGAGATATTCTCAGGCTATCCATATAGGAAAAGAAAGCCAGTTAAATAGTTCAAAGACACTAAAATGTTCCCTAATCTTTGGTGTTGAAAAATCTCTAATAAGTTCAGTCAGAGGAAAGTATACTATAGAACTCTAAAGTCCCAAGATACCAATAGCCAAACAACCAAAATTACCTACAAAACCACACATCAACATTTTCTTGTAAGATTAAAACTTGTCTAAATCAAGTAAATTTTTTGTTTTTAAATAAACCATATTATTCCTTAATCTGTGAGAACATACAAGTAGAGAGCAAGAGTCAGATGGAACAAAATACTACATGACTATAGCAATTTGGACCAGAGAGATGGCTCAGTGGATAAAGCACTGCCACTAAGCTTTGACTGAAGCTTGATGCCCAAGATACAACTAGCACGTAAGCACTATACTCACACCTGAGCTTTCTGAATGATGAAAAAAGGGGGGAATTAGCCCAGATTTTTAAAATTTCTCTCCTTAAAAGTTAAAGTGAAATACAAAGAAAATTAGGATTATAGCTTCATTTTCCCTTGATACATTCAGCAGGTGTGGTGGCATATGCTTATCCCAGAACTCGGGGGGATTAAAAGAGAATAAACATGAGTTCGATGCCAATAAGGGCAATGAAAACGAGACTGCCTTAAAACAAAGCACACTAACTCACTCTCTCTCCTCTCCTCTCCCTCCAAAGATAAACGCATCAAGGAAAGAAAAAAAAATCTTAAGATGTGGTTTCTCGTTTACTTAAAAGATATAAACTATTTCTAACTAGTATCTCCCAGCATGAAGCGTCCCCCATTTTATTACCAAGATTAAAAAGAAAACACAGAAACTCTACATTCACTTCACTCATTTAGCAAATCACTTGCTTACCAAAACTGGCGCCCACATTTGCAGCGAACAGGTTTTGCATCAGGATATTGGACTTTGACAACATGGTGGCAATCTGGAGCAGGACACCACTTTAACAGTCGGTTGCACTAAAATACAAGTTAGAAAATCTTTAAAATGATAGCAAGTTAAATACATAAGTCTAGAATAAAGTTGGAAGAGAGATAACAAAACTCTATGAAGCACATAATCCCTATGAAGTACACAGTAGTGCTCTGAAGGGTAATATCCTCTCATTATAATTATCACCTTTTAATAAGAAATGTGTTAGGTTTTTGTCCACCTAGGAAGATAAATGATATTTCTATTTTACTTTGTTAAAGCGTGGCAGATTAGCCAGGCAATGGAAATGAATTCCTTTAATCCCAGCATTTGGGAGGCAGACAGGTGGATCTTTGTTGAGGCCAGCATGGTCTATACAGTGAGTTCAAGGACAGCCAGGGTTGTTACAAAAAGAAACCCTGTCTTGTAAATCCAAACCCAAAAAAAGCCAAAAATCAAAAACCAACGAAACAAAAAAAGAAGAAAAGAAAGAGAAAGAAAAAGGAGCAGGTAACATTGACTGAAACCTTTTCAATAGTAAGTAATCCTTGGAACTTGCTTATTTCCTTTTTTGAATAAAGTTCAGGACCACATTAAGCAAGTGTTTTACCTAAGGAGCTATGCCCCAACTCTAGAAGATCTAGTTTGCCGATTCATTATTTGTTTACTTTGGTTTTAGGTACCTGCTAAGGAAGCCTTTGACCACAAAGCTGTATCCCCCAGACCCTCACAAGATTAATCATCTTTAAAATTCTAATTCTATAGAACATAAGAACTATTTTTTATGCTACCTACAAATCCCACTCCTTAGCTTGTTTCCAGATTTATAGCAATCCTGCTACCTCAGCCTCACTATTTCTGAGACTACAGGATTAAGCAACCATGTGCCAGTTTAGACATTTTTGTGATTACTAACCTCAATTCTAGAGTAAACTTTTACTTCTGAGACAAGGTCTTACTAAATAGTCACAGCTAGCCTGAAATTCACCCTGTAGATCAGGCTGACCTCCACATATATGTTTGCAACCAAAATCAGCCCAGGGAAATTTTCTTAAAATGCAAGAAAATCAGATAAGTTCATAATCTGGGAAGGTGTTTAGATGCTATACAACAGCCTGGGAGAAGCTAATGGACTTACTTCATTTCTCCCTTTGACTGGAAAAAAATTAAAAACACAAAACCACTCTTACGCAATAGGAAAAGACTGACTCTTACTAGTTCCTGAAAATAAAATAATCCTTTTAACAATCGATTCTCAACTGTTTCTACAACTGTTTTTTCGTTTGTTTGCTTGTTTGTTTTAAGACAAGGTCTCGATATGTAGACCTGGTTATTGTAGAACTGGGTATGTAAGCTGACCTATAACTCACATAGATCCACTAGCCTCTGCCTCATGCATTGTTTAATTTTGGTTTTTGTTTATCTGTCTGTTTTAAGAAGTTGTCTCTCACTAGGTAGTTCAGAGTACTCTCAAACTCACAATTCTCTTGCCCCAACCACTCCAGGGCTACGATTTCAAAGAGTGTACCATCCCACTCAGGCAAAATACAAACTATGAAATATTTTTATTACATAAATAAGACATGTCTTAAGTAACATTCTGCATCATGATTCAAAAGTCAACTAACTGGCTAGGAATATAACTCATTAGAAGATCACTTGCATAAAGTATACCTATAATATGCAATTTTATAGTTTAATTAATAAAGACTATTTTCTAGAATTAAAATACCAAGATATATACAGACGTTAACTATCATGGACTTGGCACTTTCAATAAAACCTGAGAATAAAACATTACAGTGTTCTTTGTAGCAACTACTCAATTGTGCCAACACAGCACAAAATCAGTAAGAACAAATATGCAATAAATGTTTTCCAATAAATCTGTTTTTGTTTGCCTGTTTTTTTGAAACAGTGTCTCTCATTGTAGCCTTGGCTGTCTTGGAACTCACAGGGATCCACCTCTGCCTCCCTCAATGATGGAGTTTTAAAGGCATGTCCTCTTTTTTTTATATTATTAATTATTCATTCATTCATTTAAATTTTTAGTTTTTCGGAAAGGGTTTCTTTGTGTAGCTTTAGAGCCTATCCTGAAACTTGCTCTGTAGACCAGGCTGGCCTTGAATTCACAAAGATCCTCTTACTTCTGCCTCCCAAGTGCTGGGATTAAAGGCAAGTGCCAACACCACTTGGCCCAATAAATCTTTAGTTGCAAACAGAGGTAAGGCCATTTGCTGACCAAAGAAAAAATATATAATACAGCATCTTCTTTATTTTAAAAAATTTTGCCTGTATCTATGTATGTCTGTGCACTGTAGTCATGCCTGACCCATAGAAAACATAAAAAGTCCTGGATCCTCTGGGACTGGAGTACAGACAATTGTGAATTACCATGTGAGTGTTGGGAAAAGAACCCAAGTCCTCTCAAAGAGTAGCCAGTGCTACTCTCTAAAACCGTAATTACAGTATTCATTACTGGCAATGAATCGTTAAGACAGAGAAATACACGTGATTATGACATGTTAATAACATACTGCAATTCTTTGCTAGGGATAAAAAAACAGTAAAGAAAAATACTGTTAAAAAAGTAATTTAATGAGCATGGCTCAAAAATATTTTCTTTTAGTAAGTGTTCTAAATATGGTAGCAGGCTCTTGACAGTTTGAAAACTAGTATTTCAACTGAAAAATTAGCATTTTTGGGCACCTAGTATCCAGGAGGCAGAGGCAGATGGATCTCTACAAGTTAGAGGCCAGCCTCATCTACAGAGCCAGCAAAGGCTACACTGTGAGACCCTGTTTCAAAAAAACAAACAAAACTACAACAAAAAGAACCTAACTAGTATTCATATTAATAAACAAAATTTTTAAAAACTAAAATTAGACAAGTATAAACCACTTACCTCTACAAAGCTATTTGTTATTAAATGCTGATATTTTAATTTAACTTTTGAATCTGTGATCAGGCGCCTGAAACAAATGAAAGAAATTTATTAAGTTTATTAAGCCAAGTTTCAACACACATATATATAAAATGTAACTTCAAAAACTGTTTAGACTATAGCATAAAAACTACCCTAAGTTGAAAATATCCAATGTACATCCTCCATCAATTCAGAAATCTACTAGTCCTAACAGTGATCTCCAAGTTTCTGTAATGTGACTTGGATAGACATTTTCCTCATATTTTATATTCTAAATATTCTGTTTTGCTGAGTTCACATAGCAGTCTAACGACAGCAAATTTTCATCCCTTATAAGTCTTCTGCGAGCAATTCATGACTGTCTTCCTTGGAACCCCCAACAGTCCATGAAACCAAACGAATGTCAAAGAATGGACCCAGTATTGTGTATATAATTTTGAAGGTTGCCTTCATGTGACAGTTCTCAGGAATTAAATGAAAAAATTGACAGCAACCTGGTGTTTTCCGAACACTGATGAACAACAAACTGTGTAACTCACAATACAGAGGCATGAAAATGAGGAACAATAAACAGATGAAGTCTCATTAGTTTTATGGGAAGCATCATTCTGAATGTCATAGGAAAATGGTGTTAAGAGCTAAGGACAGAGATCAATGAATGGTTAAGCCTCTGCCAAAAGCATCCAAGAAAAGGTTCAACCACCACTGTCAAGGTTTTGTTTTTTTGGTTTTGCTTTTATTTTTAGTTGGTATTAAATCAAGTGGTAGTGTGTGATGGCCACTGACAAACAACCTTTTAACAAAAGTATATAGTCTAATATTTTTAATAAGACAATTTTGTATGCTCTGATTTTGTCATTAATTCTTTTTTAACTTTCAAATTTTATTGTCATTATTATCAATGATATGGGGGTCTCTATGTAAATGATGATGATAATAATAATAATAATAACAATAATAATAAAGGGGTCTTTATGTAATACACACTTCTGGCTGTCCTGGAACTATGTTTTTGATTTTACAGAGATCCTTCTGCCTCTGGTTCCCAAGTGCTGGGATTAAAGGCGTGAGCTATCATGTCCAGTCCTTTCATTTTTCTTAAGCTTCATATCCTTCTTCCTCTGTCCTTCCTTAAAACCTCACTCTCTTATGCCACTCTTAGATGAACTCATATCAGGTCACATGGGGGCAGGGGAAACAGGTCTTACTCTGTAGCCTAAGCTGGCCAGCTAAGCACTATGTATACCAAAAGGACCTGAAATCTGCAGTGGTTGTAGGTGTAGTTGCCCATGCCTAGATCCCAAATATACCGTTCTAGTTCCTCAAAAATCCTAAATACCATGCATCTTTAGGAATACTACTATATAAGACTATACCCATCCCCCACCCAGAATAGACAGAGAAAAATGCCATGAAGGGGACCTGAGGTGAAACAACCTTCATTTGAGTACGGCTCACAACTATGAAATGAGAGTAAGTTCTCTGACCTTTCTATTCCTCTGGTTACTACTCTGCAAAAACAATTTGTAAAATTAAAGATCTATGAAACTAGATGTGTCTAAAAAATAGCATATGCTCACTAAACATTAAACGCACAAAAGTTGAAAGAATTCCCCATCATTTAATTATAGCAATTAGTATAATCTTGTTTTCATGTCTATTTTTTTGCTTATTCATTCCCAAACAATGAGCTCCATGAAAAAAGTATCTTGTGTCCAGCACACTGTCTGAACTATTCAGTGTTTGATAAGGTTTTTCCCCCTGGAGAAGAGGGGGAAAGAGCAGTGTTCAACAAAGGTTTGTGTTGCAGCTCTGGCTGTCCTGGAACTCAGAGAGATCTGTCTGCCTCTGCCTCCTGAGTGTAACCAGCTAGGTATTTTTAAACAAATTAACTTTCAATACACAAATGCCGGAGGCAAAGTCTAACAATAATTAGTTTATTTGGGAGTTCATCAACAAGTTAAACACAGCATTACCACAACCCTCTTCAACTTCCCTCCTAGATATATGTGCTTAGAATTAAAACGGGTGCCCCACAAAATCTTATACATAAAGCTCATGAGAAAAATTTTCACAGGAAGTTGAAACAGCTCTAACACACAACTAAACCATAAAAAGATCTAAGTGGTGATTCATCCCCCCCCCGCCCCCTCCCTCTCCCCGCCCCCCCCTCACACATACACACACACACACACACACACACACACACACACACACACACACAAACTCTATGCCAAATAATGCAACTAGAGGAGGAGAAAAACATATTAAGATTCCATTTAATATGATTTCTAGATTAGACTAAACGATACACATAGACACTAGACAAGTGCTTGGTAAGGTATTGGAACATGTGGGAATTGTTGAATGGAAACAGAATGCTAAAATTATTTTAGGAGGTTAACACGGTAGGGTTTTTCCTTTGACTCCAATTTGTAATGCATAACAAGACAGTTTCTTAAAAATATCAGGAGGGCCGGGCGGTGGTGGCGCAAGCCTTTAATCCCAGCACTCGGAGGCAGAGGCAGGTGAATCTCTGTGAGTTCAAGGCCAGCCTGGTCTAGAAGAGCTAGTTCCAGGACAGGAACCAAAAGCTACGGAGAAACCCTGTCTCGAAAAATCAAAAAAAGAAAAAAAAATATCAGGAGGTAGGGAAAACTAACAACTGCTACTTTTTTATGGATTTGACATCAGTAAAATAAAGTATATAACTCTAAGTCAGATGTTCTGGTTCCAAAGATATTTATATGCCTATTATCCATAATGCTTCTCTGATTCTACAAACCATTTATTATGGCTGATCTTAGCTAGACTTCAAACCTTTAAGAATAGCACTATTAAGATGAATGAAAGCTCCTGCTATTAATATGCTAATTGTATTGATACCAGTTGCTACCAACTTTGTTGAAAAAAAAAAGTCAATGGATCAATTCTCTGTGGAGGGCATCCCTCAGGGAGTCAAAACAGGTTCTTATGAATGCCTACTACACATGTGGAGTACAACTTCAGAAGCATTTAAGCACCCACAGTTTGAGAATCATATCTGATTTAACAAAGAAACTGGAATGCTGACTTTAACTTAACCATAAAGGTTTATGTTTTGTTTTGTTGAATTAAGCGGATATCTTAGGTGGTTCCTATTGCTGTGATGAAACACCATGATCAAAAGAAATTGGGAAGGAAAGTGTTCATTTCACTTACACTTTTGTAACAGTTTACCCTGGAAAACATTTAGGCTGGAAACTCAAAAAGGGCAGGAACCTGGAGGCAAGGGCTAATGCAGGCAGGGGCCATGGAGGAGTGCTACTTATTGACTTGCTCAACCCAGGACCACAAGCCCAATGGTGGTCTGCCAGTCCTCCCACATCAATCATTAAAAGAAAGCCATACAGGTTTTGTCATTCTTACGGAAGCCTGTTCTCAATTAGTGCTCCCTCCTCTCTGATGTTCTAGCTTGTGTCAAATTGATTAAAAAGAAAAAAAAAAAAGTCAAACAAAAACCACCTAGGGCTGGAGAGATGGCTCAGAGGTTAAGAGCATTGCCTGCTCTTCCAGGGGTCCTGAGTTCAATTCCCAGCAACCACATGGTGGCTCACAACCATCTGTAATGGGGTCTGGTGCCCTCTTCTGGCCTGCAGGCATACACACAGACAGAATACTGTATACATAATAAATAAATAAATATTTAAAAAAAAAACAAAAACCACCTAGCCAGTACTAAATAACGCTTATGCATATAAAGCACCCTGAGTTAAAAAACAAAACAACTTTATGTAATAATTTAGCTCAAATAATAAAAGCATTTTCCTTTAAAAAGTCTTTTTTCCTTTGATGTACAAACTGCAGACAAACACAAAGAATAAATAACATCACATATAACTAAGGATTTTTATAAACCTGTGTTTTATTTTTCTAAATATACGATCACCTCTCCTTTCTATACTTTCCTCTTTTCCTGCCTTTCTTTGAAACAAGATCTCACTAAATATCCCAACAACCTCAAATTCAGTTATTCTGCTCTCCTCCTGAGACACAGATACACTAAGACTTCCAAAATCCAACAGTCAAAGCAATTCTCTCTGACCCTATAATTCACTTGCCCAAAATAATCAAAGGTCAACGGTTGTACAGAAACATATCATTACCTACAAAATCTGCAGCTTCCCCAACAGTTCTTTGCCTCTCCCTACTTACTTCAATCTATACATTTTTATGTTTACAGGTAAGTAACATTTTAGAATAATGCTGGGGCTTTATCAGTAATGTATTCTTTCTCTAGCATTATGTGTCAAAAGTGGTTTCATTTTTACATTTCAGTTAGGAATTGATTTACTAACAAACTGAGTTATGTACATTGTAAACAGAAGATAAACTACTGTTTTCCTGATAAACTTCCTACTCAGAATATCAAAATCAATATTATTTGTTTCTCTGCACAGAAATAAAAGGGCATTCATTCTGTTTTACTGTGAAAAAAGCAACTCTTTTAAACCACATATTATCTAAACTTCTGAAGACATAATGAGAATTTTTCCTCATCAAAGTAAATCACCTCTCACAGGTAAAGGGTAAGACACATGGGGAGAGGGGTATAAAATACACAAAAAGTTACTGATAGACCAAATTTAAGAATGGAGAAATGATTTCAGTGAGCACTTGATTAAAAGGACTATCTAGTGCTAGAGAGATGACTAAGGCTGATCTGAGTTGACCTCCAGGGCCTATATGGAAGAAAAAGCCAACTTCCACAAGTTGCTGTCTCACCTCCACAAGTGTGCCATGGTATGCATGCATAGTAAAATAAATGCAGCAAAAAAAAAAAATACAGAGTTACCTAAACTGAAAATAAATGTAGAAAAATGCTTTTTATTATCTACCAGAAAACTTCAAATAAAAAAAAAAACTACAATGAGATATGCCCACAATGCCACCAAGAATCTCATATTTGGTGAGGAATATATGCACAACTACTTTAGAAAATAATTTGGCAGGATCTACTAAACTATTTCAGTCCCAACATAACCCAAGAAAGTCAGTGTATATGTC